TCTTTGGTGGGTCTTAACTAGGAAAGGCATATCACGCAAGTATATCAGCATCATCATGGATATGTATGAGGATTGTACTACAAGTGTTCGTACTAGTGTAGGGAGGACTGAAGAGTTCCCTATTACTATCGGAGTGCACCAAGGATCGGCCTTGAGTCCTTTCTTATTTGCCATAGTCATGGATGAACTTACGAAGTCAATTCAAGACGATATACCGTGGTGCATGATGTTTGCCGACGATATTGTATTGATTGATGAGATGCAATCAGGTCTTAAAGCAAAGCTGGAAGTATGGCGACAAACATTGGAGAATAAGGGTTTCAAACTAAGTCGGAGCAAGACAGAGTACATGGAGTGCAAGTTTGGTGGAGGTAGAAGTAGTGGTAATAGCGGAATTACTCTGGATGGTAAGGAGATACCAGTCAGCGATATGTTCCATTACTTGGGATCCATAATTCAGAAGGACGGTGAGTTAGATGGAGATGTATCCCATAGAATCAGAACAGGGTGGATGAAGTGGAAGAGTGCGTCAGGATTTCTATGCGACCGAGGTATGCCGACTAGACTGAAGGGTAAATTTTATAGGACAGCAATTAGGCCTGCATTACTGTATGGCGTAGAGTGTTGGGCGGTGAAACAATGTCACATTCAAAAGATGAGTGTGGCAGAGATGCGCATGCTGCGTTGGATGTGTGAGCATACTAGGAAGGACCGCATGAGGAATGAGACAATCAGACAAAGGGTGGGAGTAGCACCTATTGATGACAAGATGCGGGAGTCGCGCCTACGGTGGTTCGGTCATGTGCGTAGAAGACCGAGTGATGCACCTGTTAGGCGAGTTGCGATGTGTGGAGAAGAGGCGGGGAAGAGAGGGAGAGGAAGACCCAAACAGACGTGGGTTAGGGGAGTTCGAAGTGATATGCTTCTTCTGGGGTTGGATGAGGGCATGACTTTGGAGAGAACTAAGTGGAGGGCGGGTATTCACGTGAAGGAGTGATCTTGATAATCTTTTTCCCTCATCTTTTTTTTTCCTAGTTTTTTTTTATCGTTATATATATATATATGCATTATTTGCAGCCTTTTTATTGTATCTTTTTTATATATATTCATCTTTTTTATATTCTTTTCATAATAGCTTATCTTTTTATCTTTATTCCTTCTTTTCCTTTTGGTTGTGATATCATGTATCGATTCATGTTAGCCGACCCCAATATCTTTTGGGACTAAGGCTTGGATGTTGTTGTTGTTGTATAGTAAAAAATAAAATGTATAATGTAGATGGAAACTTAAATTCTAATTCATATTAATTTCTTAAGAGAAAATTTGGAAATACTTTATTCATAATATATTTATATTGCTATTTTATTTAGTTTATTCAATGAAAATGTAATGTATGTCGTTTTATTTCAGTATGAGTAATAATAGGTCATGGATGTACAAAAGATTAGAGAGACGAGGATGTCTAAATGATGATTTCAAGGAAGGTGTCAATGAGTTCATTCAGACAACGGTAACTTTATATTCTAGTGGTGTCATTGCATGTCCCTGTAGAAAGTGTAAAAATAAAAAATGGTTGACTTTGGATATTGTTAAGCAACACCTATTTGAGAAAGGTTTTATCGATGACTATTATGTATGGGCAGCACAGGGAGAGACACCCAATTCAAATGGTCTGGTTTATTTTGATCAACCTAACTCATCGCATTGTAATGCATCTGAGGTCCAATATGATCCATACAAATCGATGTTTGAGGATGCAGTGAGGAATGAATTCCCAACATAAAATCAAGGCGATTTTCTTGTGAGTGATGAGCCTAGTGCAGCAGCAAAAAAGATGTATGAGATTCTAGATATGACGAGTCAACCATGCTTTGAGGGTTGTCCAATGACTGAGTTGAGCGCAATGTCTGAAATGTTGAACATAAAGACTGAGATGAATCTATCTGAGGCTGCTACAGATAGGATTGCTCAATTTGTGAGTAGATTTTTCCCAACTAAAATCCCCAACAGGCCTATACCAAATTTCAACAAAATAAAAAGTTATCATTGTTGGGAATGACTAGCCAGTCTATTGATTGTTGCCCAAAAGGATGCATGATATATTGGAACGGAGACAGTGAGCTAATGGAGTGCAAGTTTTGCGGTGGTGCAAGATACAGGATCAGTAAGCAAACAAAAAAACCAATTCCACTTGCAAGAATGGAGTACTTCCCACTTACTCCTAGATTACAAAGGCTTTATGCATCATATACTACCGCGGAGAAAATAAGGTGGCACAAAGTTCACCATAGAGAAGAAGGAGTGATACAACATCCGTCAGATGCAAAGGCGTGGATTCATTTTGACAATCTCCATCCAGATTTTGCTGAAGACCCGAGAAATGTTAGGCTTGGTTTATGCAGTGACGGGTTCCAGCCATTTGGGCAATTTGGTCAGAAATACTCTTGTTGGCCTATCATAGTGACATCATACAACTTGCCACCAGGTATGTGTATGAAACAACAATTTTTATTTTTGTCTATATTGGTACCTGGACCAAAAAATCCAACAAAGGGGATAGATGTGTATTTGCAACCATTGATAGAAGAGTTGAAACAACTGTGGGAGGTTGGGGTTGTAACGTATGATGCATTCTCAAGGGAAATTTCAATATGCGAGCTATGTTGCTATGGACAATAAGTGATTTTCCCGCATATGCCATGCTTTCTGGATGGAGTACAAAGGAAAAATTTGCTTGTCCATGTTGTGCTGAGTTTACTGAAGCATTTTGGTTATCCCATAGCAAAAAACATAGTTGGTTTGATAATCATAGAAAGTTCCTACCAGGTGATCATCCATTTCGGTTTGATAATGAGAACTTTACTAAGGGAAAATCAATCTTCTATGGCCCTCCGTTACCGAGAGATGGTTCATACTGCTATGATGAGGTCAGTTCCCTGATGCCCGTGACTGAACTAGGAGGTATTGAGCATAATAAAATAGCTGGAAAAGATATTGGATGGAAGAAACGTAGTATATTCTGGGATCTCCCGTATTGGAAGGATTTGCTTGTACGACATAATCTCGACGTGATGCGTTTAGAGAAGAATTTCTTTGAGAATATGTTCTATACAATTTTGGGGGTGCCACGAAAATCGAAGGACCATGCTAAAGGGAGAATGGATATGGAACAAATTTGCCATAGGCCGAGTATCGAGAGGGACAATCACGGAAAATTCCCTAAGGCTCCTTTTACTCTTTCAAGTGAGCAAATGACAGTGTTATGCAATTGGGTTGATTCATTGAAGTTCCCCGACGGCTTTGCTTCTCGGTTAGGGCGTTGCATAGAAATGGAAAAACTTAAAGTGTTTGGCATGAAGAGTCATGATTGTCATGTGTTTATGCAACGTTTAATTCCGATTGCTTTTAGATAGATGTTACCTGCTTCGATTTGGGAGGCAATCACAGAGATTAGCTTATTCTTTCGTGAGTTAACAAGAAAGAATATCACCGTTTCTGACATGGAGAAGCTAAAGGCAGATATTCCCATTATTCTATGCAAGTTGGAGAAGATTTTCCCACCGTCATTCTTTGACCCCAGTGAGCATCTTGTTGTACATTTACCAGATGAAGCTTTGTGGGGCGGACCTGCACAGTATCGTTGGATGTATCGTTTTGAAAAGTCAGTGTCTTTTACTTTTTCTCTTTCGGTTACTATAATCTTTTATAAATTTCACTTCATGTCTTAAGTGTTATCATTGACATAGTTTCCTAGGATCAGTCTTGAAGACAAAAATAGAAAACAAGGCAATAGTTGAGGCCTCAATCAGGGAAGGTTATTTGCAAAGTGAGATGGGTACATTTGCGAGTTACTATTTCCCGGAGGAAGTGGTTACAAAGGAACGCCGTGTGCATAGATTGGATGGTGGTTTCTTTATTAATGATGATGCTAGCGCTTCAATTTTTGCACAAAAGGCAAAAGCAGTCGGTGCAAGCACGCGGCGACACATGAACCAAAACGAATCCAGTACTGTTCACTCATATGTGTTGCAGAACTGTGTAGAAATCTAACCATTCCGAGAGTAAGTCATACTATACTAAGCATTGTTTGGTCATTTTTAATGTGGTGTGATATATTGAATGTACTTATATTTAAATGTGAGTGTGGTCTTTTATTACAGGATGTTTATCAATACAACAGGATTATCTAGTTCTGACGAAGTCCAACTACAAGCCAACTTTCCTTTTTGGTTTTACCACTACGTGAGAATCTAAACTACCTTATTTAATTAAATAAAGTCAAACTACGTACTGTATAGAGTTTTATACACTGTATGTATTAAGATTTTGTGCTTTGTTTAGGTGAAAAACGACACAATAGATCATCCACGATGGCTTCGTGCTTTATCTAGATTTCCCTCTCCATATGTGACTACTTACCAGACGCTTAATATAAACGGCTATAAATTTAACACTATTGAGCGTTCTGAAGACATGGTTATATGTAATTGCGGAGTTATGGTGAAGTGCACAAGTTTTGATGGATCGAGGCTCGATTACTATGGATTGATACAAGAAATAATTTAGTTGGAATATCAAGATTACAAGGTACTTGTTTTCAAATGTGAATGGTTTGATCCTTCTGATAGAGGTACATGAGTCCATCCATTATACAACATAGTTGATGTACACATGCAACACCGACTTCGTACTCCAGATTGCTATATTTTAGCATCACAGGCTGATCAAGTTGTGTATGTACCGTATCCGAATGACGGCCTGTAACAGTGAATGACTTCACTTGGGCTGCTGTTGAAGAGTATAAGAGGTCAACGAAATTTCAGAGGGCATCTGCTGCTGGTAAGAGAAATCGTATTGCCGGTGGGGACAAATGCAAACAATATGGGGGTTCTCGAGATGCGGTTGATGTGGCAGCCCAAGAGGTGAGTTTAAAATTTATTTTGATATATGTCTCAAATTTTAGGTGATTCATTGGATGATGTTTTTGCATTTTGTTTTAGTTGAGGATTACCGGTGAACATATAAATCCTGTCAAACTTTGTGAGACCTTCCATCCAAAGAAAAGGAAGAATGGAGAGCTAATTGATTATTCTTCACAACCGAAAGTTATGGTATGTAATTACTTTTCTGCTTTTGGGTCTCTATATTTAACATTTATAAATATTTTAGTTTATTTAATTTAAATGTATAACCATATAACAATCTGCTCTAAACCCTAATCTCAAACAGAAAGTTTATAAATCTTAAATAATTATAAACATGGTTTGTACCATCATTGAGTCTGTAAATGTATTGTACATATATGGCCAGTGTTTTCTGTTTTAGCCCCCTTATTAAGTGTGTAAATACATTGTATATATGGATTTTGTTTTCTGTTTTTAGCCTGTGTACTGAGCATGTAAATGCATTATATATAAGGGCTGTTTTTTGTGATTTTAACCCCTGCTTTGTGTGTGTAAATGCATTGTATATATTTGGAGTGTTTTCTAATGGCCAATACAACTGACTGTGAAGATTTTATTTGCTTAGTTATCACCATGCTTCCCCTCTTGCTACTATCCAATTTGCTCAATGCCTCAAACGCAGTCTGGCCTACACACACGCTAACTGTACATTCATATCTCAGAAAAGAGTGGAGGATGTGTTTGGTTATTTTTAACACTTATCAAATTCTTTTGAATAATTACTCAAATTTGGTAACTTTATTTATGTAAGATTTGATCTCAAGATTGTATTAGGTCACCACTTTACACGTAGTTTCTAGTATTAAATCTGTAAACATCCTATTGAGATTTTTTGAGCAATTGTGAGTTGTGTCGTTATTGTAAAAAAATACCAGCAATGTTCTCTTTTTAATTGTGTAGTGTATGATTTTAGTCCTTTTTTCTGATTTTGATGTTGATGATTCATGAGTTTAATAGGTAGTGCAACATACCATGCATTGTACCTAATGTTTTTTATTAGAGAGTATCAAATGTTTGAGTGACTTGCATCATTTTGTTTGCACAGGAGGTTATTAACAAGCTGTCTACTACATTCCATGAAGCTGAAAGTGAACATCAATCACAAGAAGCTGAAATTTCTGCGGCAGCAAAATCAGTAATTTCTGAGTTGCATTTCAAGTATTTTGATGTCGTTGGGTACAACAAGAAAAGAATTTTGGGAACGGGAAGGTATTCCAAAGCGTTTCTTCTCCAATTAGAGTCAAATCATAAAGGATCTTCATCAAAACGCTTGCATGATTTTTGTGTTGCTTGGGATGAGCATATGAGAAAATGGTTGTCTTCGCATGGTCATGTGGCTCCACCGGTTATGCCTCTTGTGGATGAAAGTTTGACAAATAAGAATCCCAAGTTACAACCTAAATTTTTTGAAGGAACATGGCTTCCGTTCTTCAAGTCATATGGAATTAATGCCCCAAACTTCTTTCCACAACAAGATTTATCCTCTCAAGGCTCTCAACAGTCACATGGAGACTCTTTATCCAACTAGATGCATAACTTTAATTTTGAAATGGCTTAAACATTTTAAACCACATTAATGTGGTGATATGTATGCCTTTTTTGGATTTAGTATTGAACACTAGATACTAACAGTGACTTGGATGTTTTTTTTTGGATTTAGCATAGTTGGGGCTTTAGTAGTGACCTACTGACCTCCCATCTAATTAATGTAAAATCTATGCTAGTATAATATACAGAGTATTATTTTTTGGCAATATTTGATTTTAATTATATTTAATGGTTCAAATTTATCTTTTCATGCTTTGATTTGATAAATTAATATAAACAGTGTTTGGTAGGCATACATAAATAATAATTGAATTGAGAGCAATGCATAAATGAAGAATATTTTTTTGTAAATAAAAATTAATTACCGGCGACCAATAGTGACAGATATTCCGCCACTAAAACCGTTGGCGGAACCATCCGTCATAAAAGTCCACTTCTAATCACTGACAGATTTGAAAATCCGCCACCAAACAATATTACTTCCAGAATTTACTGGCGGACGATCCGTCAGTGATTTCCGTCACCAAGAATTTCTGTAGCGGAGTTAGCGACGGATATTCCGCCACTAAATTGCGAGATTTCTTGTAGTGATACATATATAAAAGAGAGCTTCATATATACATTTCACGTTTGCCATCGCACAACTTTGACCGTCGTTATATTTAATTCTGTATTAGTAAAAATAAAATAAAAATTAGATTATAAAACTTAGTAATGAGACGAATTTAACAAAAATTTTCAAAAAAATAATTCATATACATTAATAAATAAAATGTAGTCAAAGTAAAGTACATGAATAGTATATATGTCTCAATGTTGCAATTAATGAGATAAGGAGGATAGTATTTTGTACATTCGGCCATATGGAGAAGGTGAGCAACCATGCGCCTGTCAAGCAACGTCCTGGGCTTTAATTTTGGAAGGGCAAGCTTGATGTATTTGGGTTTAGATCAATATAAGCTGCTCTATTAAGGTTAGTACTACAACTTGACTTTTTATTTAAGAATCATTTTAGTTAATCAAAGATAAACGTTTTTAGTTAATATCAACTCTTAAATTCGTAGAACGTTTTGATAGATATAAATGAAAATAAAGGAGTTTTGATATTAATAAAAGTGTATGAACGTTTTCAGAAATGAGAATATTTTAGGCCACCGCCGGATGACCGGAATTTCAATATACATATATATATACGAACAGATTAGTCAAGGAGGAGATGATATTCATAGTATTATTAGAGGACATGCATGTATAGATAAACATTCCTTAGTGTGTATGGTAGTAAGTTTGACCAAGCATAATAATACTTATGTCCAGTTACTCGTCAAGTAAAACTATATAAATACAAAAATATATTGTGTGCATGCCCCTATATATAGATACGAGTATAAATACATAGCTAAATATACAAACCCATTTCCACATTTCATGGTTACATATGGATGCATTTGCTTTCCATCATTTATAGGGCCGTCTAATGAATTCGGAGGCCCCGGTTTCAAATGTAAAATCGAGGTCCTACATTAATATAAAACAGTATCAAAAAAATTTCAATCCAAATACATATACTTAAATTAATTGAATACTCATTAAATAATGTAATAAAAGAATTCTAAAATTGAATTAATATTTGATTTAAAGCAACACAACTCATTATTCAAGCAATTTGCAGTAAAGAAAACTAAAACGACCAACAAAAAAAATGGTGAATCTATATTTTTCTTCCTCACTAACCGTGTTTTACTGATCAGTATTAATATATGTAGTATAATATTACGGAGTATTATATAATACTAATAAAATTTTAAAATTTTGGGGCCCCGTAAATTTGGGGGTCCTGTTCTGGATAACCTATTGAACCCCTAAAAAACGGCACTGCCTTATTCATTTACATAATACGCAGTATATATACTGATATACATGCAAGTAATCTTTGCTACTTATATTATTTTATATATAATATATATTAACTATAAATACTTCGTATTTATATAATCTTGAGTTGGAGTAAGCACGCGTATTGCATGGTCTGGATATGAACACCTGCATATGGACATATATACAAACTAACATAATCCGTATATATGTATTTATGTATTATTATTATTATTATTACTATTAATATAATTATTATTCATGTAAGTTTGGATGTATGTAAATTATTGGTTACGGTTAAGATCCAGAACACCGTTGCATATTATGTGAAGATTAATGATACATATACATGAACTACAAATTTACCCACATACATATGACGTAAGTTCAGAATTTAGTCATTTATAACAATAACAATAATAGCTAACTTGTACTGATTATAGCTAGATTGTAGTATATATTATGTAAGTTTAAAAAGGAAACAAAAATAATAATTAAGTGTCCTAGCAGGACTGGAAAAGCATATAGACCAGATCGATGATTATATGTTTACGAATTTACATGAGTATTATATTTTTCATTATTTTAAAATAAATATGATTTAGTAAATACTTTTTACCTAAAAGCCTTGCTCTAGGATTTAGAAATACTAGTTTTTGGGTACCACGTTTTACAGTTTTGGTCTCAAGATTACTTAAACTCCTGTTTGGGTAGTCTTGTTTCCCACGTTTTTGGGTCGCGAGTTGGTTACACCGACTACGACTCCACGCTGAGTTCGGATTGTTTCGACGATTATTATTATTATTATTGTACCCTTAGCTAGAGTTTGATCCGATGAGTAAATTAAAGTTTGAAACTAAATAACTAAAGTTTGATACGACTCCATCATTTTTATTTAGACAAAATTAGGTGTGAATATTTCCTTATATGGATATATGTGTAGCGGTGCAAGATAATTTGTATATGGAATTACCGTCATCTTATACAAAATGAAAAAGAAATCAAAGCTATGAGTGGTCTCAAATAAAAAGGGGACTCGGTTAAAGATCATATGAGTTTATTTTTCATATAATATGGAATATGGCAGCTTTCGTAGATGTTAATTTATCTATTCCATAAGTAACGAATCTAATTCATGAATATAATATATTAGTGTGAACACTAATTAAATTTGAGAATGGGGTTGCCCTTGGAAAAAATGTGACTTTGAGTAAGATGACTAAAATGAAAAATTATTTCATCAATTATTGAAGTAACAAATATAACTTCATATATTTGTTACGACTTGTTAAATTGTAGTATCACTTGGCATGCAATTATATTGATATGTAGTTTTTTTTTTCCTACACGTAGGTGAAACATCTGAATATGACTGTATTTGCATGTGCTTCATAAATTAGGAGGAGCAATATAATTCATTAATCCGGGTAATAAGTCCGTATTTCGACACATATTTATTGATGCGTGTTGAGATTGGCTTTTGATGGTTTTTCTAGCTTTGAGGTGTCATAAGTCTTGATTTTAGCTCAATTCATATTTTACCGGGTGTTGGTTCGAGTTTGGTATGTTTGAAGTCAAAATCAGGGAATTTGAGTCTGGCACCGGCGCTTGAGAAGCAATCGGGACAAGTTGAGACACATTTGAAGATGAATCGAGAGCTTTGGAGGTCAATGGGAGGTTTACGATGAAGATTTGATGACGAAAGACCTTTAGGATCAATCACGGGAGCAAACGGGAGCATTCAGAGCAAGAAACAAAAGAAAATGATGAAGAATAGGCCAGGCACGCCGTGCATGCCTGGCAGTGAGCCAAATATTCACTGCGGGGTCGAACCTCAGAAGTTTTAAATTTTATTCCCCGGATTTGGGGTCGGATAGGGCCAAACGGGCCAACGGGTATTTTTTGTTTTACCTGTATTCACAAGTTTATATACAACGGACCGATTTAGAGAAATTCCAGTTATGTACAACCGGACTGCAAATTTAAAGTCCGGTTTAGAGAAAGTGTGGTTCTTTGAGAAAGTCCTGGTATTCCCGGGATTGAGGCAGACCCGAGTAAAAATGGATTAACGGGTATTTCCCGTTTTACCTATATACATGGGTTTTCGGGTCGACCCTTCCGGTCCGGTGCCGATAGATTAATTGAAATGAGAGTTTAAAATAGAATTATTGCCCTAAATGGGACCAAATTCTTCCTAAAATTCTTAAATAGGACTAAACATATCTTTTTTCCCCAAAAGGGACTCGATTACTCATGCTAGTTTTCTCGCACTTAAAAATAGATAGTAGTAAGGGGTGTAAGTACGAGTATCGTCTCCACAGGGACGGACAAAAGTGAATTAAGAATTAATTAAATTCAGCGATAAAGAAAAGAAATAAAATAAATGAATTCGTGCGAGATTTAGTTGATTGAGAAAATTAAAATTGCAAATAAACGACTAAAAGTAAAGATTTGGATTCTTCTTAATTAACGACGAAGGGAATAGGGATTGATTCCAGGGTAATCAGATTTCTGGCAGATCAGGCTTAATAACATGAAATTAATTTAATTGCGCCTAGCTAATCAATACTAAGTTCTTACCGTTCTCGCGGCGTAGAGTACAATAATTTAGGGACCAGGCTGATCTCTCATGCGACAGGATCCTAAATTATTGCCAAGACGAGCGAGCTTACAGCCCCTTAATCGCTACTAATCTCTTAGCGAACGATTAAGTGTGTGTGAATGTGTCCTAGAATAAATTAGATCTCTATTAACTTATTCTACCAGCAATTGTAAATCTAGCGTGCGTTCTAGGTTACAAAAGATATCAGTTAAATTATTCAAACACAAATTAAACGATATTCATGCAATTAAACCATCAAGAATCTAGTCATACATCATGATCAATCCCTTCATCAATCC